AGAAGTACTGAGATCTTGTACTTTAGTAAAAGAAGAAGTACTGAGATCTTGTACTTTAGTAAAAGAAGAAGTATTCAGATGTTGTACTTGAGTAAAAGTAGAAGTACTCAGATCTTGTACTTGAGTAAAAGTAGAAGTACTCAGATCTTGTACTTGAGTAAAAGTAGAAGTACCAGAGTGTAGGAATACTCTGTTACAGTAAAAGTCCTCATTCAAAATGTTCCTCAAGTGAAAGTAGAAAAGTATTCTCATCTAAATATAGAAAGTAGCGACAGTAAAAGTAGTCGTTGTGCAGAATGGTCCATTTCAGAATAATATATATGATATGTTTTATAATGATTGATCATGAAAGTGTTCTCAAAGCTGGTGAAGGTGCAGCTAGTTTGAATGACTTTGTATTCTGCAGGGTAGCTGGTGGATTTACTCCAGGTAGAACTAAAGTCTGATTCAACACTTGGTTAGATTTCACATCATTCATCCACATCTGTAAAGTAACTAAAGGTATTAAATACATGTAGTGGAGTAAAAGTACAAAGTTGCATGAAATTGAAATACTTAAGTAAAGTATAAATCTCAAAATGCTACTTAAGTACAGTACTTGAGTACATCTACTTAGTTACTTCCCACCTCTGAGTATGAGGGTGTAGTTACGGTATGACAGCTGATTTAAACCCTCCTTTAGAGGAAAGTAACCTCCCGTTATTTAACGGTATGTTGGCTTCAGATCAAACAAAGCACCATCCGTCATGTCAGTAACTTTCAGAAACTAATTATAGCACTTCTTAAAAGCCTCGATCATTAATAATAGTTAAACGAGGGGACTTTCATGTGGAAAAGGTAGCAGTGTTTGATTGTTAGTAATGCTTCGGGGGATCTTACGGTGCAGACTGCCTGGAGTCGTCCCCCGGACAGATAAAAGCTCACCACATTAAGAGAACACAGCGCTCCATAGGAGGTCGCTGAATAACGGCTAGCTCAGGGAGGGATACAAACTATGAAACGCACACATTCATGGATCGACGTAACGACATTACGGGAGAGAATACTTTCTTTCCTGGAAGATTTGTGTCTCTTAAGAATATAAATGGATTCAAAACATGATTCTTAATAAGGGTTTGTTTCTTAATAAGAAGCTACACATTGCTAATGATGAACCATTATGCTATAGAACAACATCAGAGTGTGTGTCAAGCAGAAGATTACACAAAATACCTACTGTGTTGAGTGTCTGCTAAAGTACAAGGCAGCTAGCTTAAGTTAGCCACTTATTTGTGTAAAAGGCACCATTTCTATTTCTTGTAAAACATGAGAAACACTAAAAACTTTGTGGTAAAACTTGTTTATTTACGCTACTGTAGTTAGCATTAATAATTGTTACCTTTTAGTCAATGTGTGTTTACATTATTGCACTCACTGGATACAACGTTTTCAACTATAACAAATCAATCAAATCTGTTTTCTCAATTCATCCATTGGTCTTTAAATTGTCAAACATTTAGAAAATGTCTCTAAGACAAAGTGATGTCTTTAAATGTCGTTTTTGTCAGTAAGTAACCCAAATATATTCACTTTAATATGATATAAAACAGAGAAAAGCAGGAAGTCTCCATATTTGAGACGCCGAAAACAGCTTTTTCTGATACTCTGAAAGATTACACAATTATTATAATATTCTGATTATTCTCGTTCTGATTAATAATCTTTGCATTAAAAGCAGAGAAAAGTAAAGAAATGCAATCATTTTCTTTAAAAGAAAGCACCTGAATCCAAATCCATTTCTTAATCAAATCTTAAGATACAGATGCACTCACTCTTCGTTGAATCACACTTAGTTGCTTTAATATCATACTGTATTAAAGCACACAGTGTCAGTGCAGAGTGCACAGCTGCAGTCAGAGTGAAATCTATCCTCTCTGCTCAGGAGTTTAAATCTAATCTGTGCCCTGCAGGCGAGTCAGCTGGGAGTTTATCGGGCCTTTGTGGATAACTATAAGGTCGCTGTGGAGACGGCGGACAAATGCTGCCAGGCGAACGCTCAGTTTGCAGAGATATCTGAGGTATGTGATCCCAGCAGGAAAACATTTGATGTTGCACAGCTGCCCGAGAGAAGTGATGACGGGGCAGTTTCTCAGCAGAGGAACAGCCACGCAGCTCTTTATAGCCGCGCTGATTGTTTTAATTGCGCTGTGGGGCAGTGATTTAATGAGGGGCTTTTTTTCTCTTCCCTTGCCAGAATCTCAAGGTCAAAAGCACAAAGGACTGCAAAGACCAGGCGGCTAAAAACTCACTGGAAAGTGAGTACTGAGTGAAGTTAATGGCCTGCTTTTACTTTAAAGAGTCCTCTCCTGCTGATGTTCAGGTGTATATCAGTATCTAGTGTCTCTACTTTAAAGAGTTCTCTCCTGCTGATGTTCAGGTGTATATCAGTATGTAGTGTCTCTACTTTAAAGAGTCCTCTCCTGCTGATGTTCAGGTGTTTATCAGTATGTAGTGTCTCTACTTTAAAGAGTCCTCTCCTGCTGATGTTCAGGTGTTATCAATATGTAGTGTCTCTACTTTAAAGAGTCCTCTCCTGCTGATGTTCAGGTGTATATCAATATGTAGTGTCTCTACTTTAAAGAGTCCTCTCCTGCTGATGTTCAGGTGTGTATCAGTATGTAGGTCTCTACTTTAAAGAGTCCTCTCCTGCTGATGTTCAGGTGTATATCAGTATGTAGGGTCTCTACTTTAAAGAGTCCTCTCCTGCTGATGTTCAGGTGTATATCAGTATGTGGGTCTCTACTTTAAAGAGTCCTCTCCTGCTGATGTTCAGGTGTGTATCAGTATGTAGGGTCTCTACTTTAAAGAGTCCTCTCCTGCTGATGTTCAGGTGTATATCAGTATGTAGGGTCTCTACTTTAAAGAGTCCTCTCCTGCTGATGTTCAGGTGTATATCAGTATGTAGGGTCTCTACTTTAAAGAGTCCTCTCCTGCTGATGTTCAGGTGTATATCAGTATGTAGTGCTCTACTTTAAAGAGTCCTCTCCTGCTGATGTTCAGGTGTATATCAGTATGTAGTTCTCTACTTTAAAGAGTCCTCTCCTGCTGATGTTCAGGTGTATATCAGTATGTAGGGTCTCTACTTTAAAGAGTCCTCTCCTGCTGATGTTCAGGTGTATATCAGTATGTAGGGTCTCTACTTTAAAGAGTCCTTCCTGCTGATGTTCAGGTGTATATCAGTATGTAGGGTCTCGACTTTAAAGAGTCCTCTCCTGCTGATGTTCAGGCGTATATCAGTATGTAGGGTCTCTACTTTAAAGAGTCCTCTCCTGCTGATGTTCAGTGTATATCAGTATGTAGGGTCTCTACTTTAAAGAGTCCTCTCTGCTGATGTTCAGGCGTATATCAGTATGTAGGGTCTCGACTTTAAAAAGTCCTCTTCTGCTGATGTTCAGGCGTGTATCAGTATGTAGTGTCTCTACTTTAAAGAGTCCTCTCCTGCTGATGTTCAGGTGTATATCAGTATGTAGGGTCTCTACTTTAAAGAGTCCTCTCCTGCTGATGTTCAGGTGTATATCAGTATGTAGGGTCTCTACTTTAAAGAGTCCTCTCCTGCTGATGTTCAGGTGTATATCAGTATGTAGTGTCTCTACTTTAAAGAGTCCTCTCCTGCTGATGTTCAGGTGTATATCATATGTAGTGTCTCTACTTTAAAGAGTCTCTCCTGCTGATGTTCAGGTGTATATCAGTATGTAGGTCTCTACTTTAAAGAGTCCTCTCCTGCTGATGTTCAGGTGTATATCAGTATGTAGGGTCTCTACTTTAAAGAGTCCTCTCCTGCTGATGTTCAGGTGTATATCAGTATGTAGTGTCTCTACTTTAAAGAGTCCTCTCCTGCTGATGTTCAGGTGTATATCAGTATGTAGGGTCTCTACTTTAAAGAGTCCTCTCCTGCTGATGTTCAGGTGTATATCAGTATGTAGGGTCTCTACTTTAAAGAGTCCTCTCCTGCTGATGTTCAGGTGTATATCAGTATGTAGGGTCTCTACTTTAAAGAGTCCTCTCCTGCTGATGTTCAGGTGTATATCAGTATGTAGGGTCTCTACTTTAAAGAGTCCTCTCCATGGCGTATATCAGTATGTAGGGTCTCTACTTTAAAGAGTCCTCTCCTGCTGATGTTCAGGTGTATATCAGTATGTAGGGTCTCTACTTTAAAGAGTCCTCTCCTGCTGATGTTCAGGTGGTATCAGTATGTAGTGTCTCTACTTTAAAGAGTCCTCTCCTGCTGATGTTCAGGTGTATATCAGTATGTAGGGTCTCGACTTTAAAGAGTCCTCTCCTGCTGATGTTCAGGGTGTATATCAGTATGTAGGGTCTCTACTTTAAAGAGTCCTCTCCTGCTGATGTTCAGGTGTATATCAGTATGTAGGGTCTCTACTTTAAAGAGTCCTCTCCTGCTGATGTTCAGGTGTATATCAGTAGTGTCTCTACTTTAAAGAGTCCTCTCCTGCTGATGTTCAGGTGTATATCAGTATGTAGGGTCTCTACTTTAAAGAGTCCTCTCCTGCTGATGTTCAGGTGTATATCAGTATGTAGTGTCTCTACTTTAAAGAGTCCTCTCCTGCTGATGTTCAGGTGTATATCAGTATGTAGGGTCTCTACTTTAAAGAGTCCTCTCCTGCTGTTCAGGTGTATATCAGTATGTAGGGTCTCTACTTTAAAGAGTCCTCTCTGCTGATGTTCAGGTGTATATCAGTAGTAGGGTCTCTACTTAAAAGAGTCCTCTCCTGCTGATGTTCAGATGTATATCAGTATGTAGGGTCTCTACTTTTAAAGAGTCCTCTCCCTGATGATGTTCAGGTGTATATCAGTATGTAGGTCTCTACTTTAAAGAGTCCTCTCCTGCTGATGTTCAGATGTAATCAGTATGTAGGGTCTCTACTTTAAAGAGTCCTCTCCTGTGATGTTCAGGTGTATATCAGTATGTAGGTCTCTACTTTAAAGAGTCCTCTCCTGCTGATGTTCAGGTGTATATCAGTATGTCGTGTCTCTACTTTAAGAGTCCTCTCCTGCTGATGTTCAGGTGTATATCAGTATGTAGTGTCTCTACTTTAAAGAGTCCTCTCCTGCTGATGTTCAGGTGTATATCAGTATGTAGGGTCTCTACTTTAAGAGTCCTCTCCTGCCTGATGTTCAGGTGTATATCAGTATGTTCAAAAAGATACATTCACATTACTTTGTCATTAATATTGTCTATGTTTTAATTTTGTCATTTATTTTCAATCTCTACACGTCCTGTGTTTCTCTCCCCGAGATTTCTAACATTTCATATTAATTGTGGGGTTCTATGAGGGTTTTCCTTTACTTCCTCTGAGGGTGTTTCATTCAAATTGCAAAGCCCCCCAAATGTAACCGTTTGTAACTTGTATATAAACAAGATGTGATTGATCGAACTCCTTCTCAGCTCTTCTCTACAAACCTGTGGACAGAGTGACGCGCAGCACGCTCGTTCTGCATGTGAGTGTCGACACACATCTGGAGCAAACACCCTGACTGCATGAAGAGACTTTTGGTGATTTCATGTTTTGTTTTTCTAATATTCCAGGACCTCCTGAAGCACACCCCCTCCAGCCACCCGGACTACACTCTGCTGCAGGACGCTCTGCGCATCTCTCAGAACTTCCTGTCCAGCATAATGAAGAAATCACCCCGAGGAGACAGTCCATGACCGTTCAGAAGGGAGAGGTCAGTGTGGAAGACTCACTTATACTCTATAGGGAAAATTACATCCATCCAGTTTTATCTAAGAAATGTCATCAGGCTCGATGAAACCAAATGCAGACACATTATGGTCAATAGATACTCACAGCTATGCTTCTTACAAATAAATACAAATATATCGCCATTTCCTCATTAAACTGTCTCAAAACAACAAGACGCATAGTTTTAGAGGTATGTGTAATTTTAATGAAGTTAGCATTGCCTCTGATCTCCTATAATGGCAACGTGTCCTCTTTGAACATGCTAAAAGCCGTCATAAATATACTTTTAATACTATTTTCAGCCACATTGTTACCATACACTTTTTAGATCTTGGTGCTTTTAACCTCAGATGTAGGGTTTTAGTCATGTGACGTCTCGATCTGACGTTATCAGAGAAACAAGCTAAGCTAATGTTAGGCTTTAGCTCGTCGCTCCTCAGCATCCACTAAACCAGTGATTCTCAAATGGGGGTACGCGGACCCCCAGGGGTACGTTGGGGTACTCCAGGGGGTAACGTGATATTAAAAAATTTAAACAAAATAACAAAAAATACCATGCATGATTACAAAAATAATCTTAGTACAATAAGTTAAATAGACAACACATGTCAAATTTTGTGTATCGTATTTTATAGTTTTGTATAATGTATCATTGTGTTCATTGGTTTGTTAAACAGATATTACTTTCAGTTGAAAAACTCCTTTGAAAATCAGTTTAAAAAAATGTCGTTATGTTGTTTTTTTTCATGCCATAAATGAAAATATCCTTAGTTTGTTGTAATGCGTGCATGAAGGAGTTAATACATCACACACTGAGGGGAACATCACTATTGGAATTATTTGTATAGGCTTTTTCGATCAAAGATGTTCGTGGTCGGTCAGGGGGTACTTGGCTGAGAAAATGTTTCAAAGGGGGTACACTACTGAAAAAAGTTTGAGAAGCACTGTGCCAGTTTATTTTCGGTGTTTTTACCCGTTTTAATATCCTGGTTCGCTTATTTCTGAGAGGAGGAAGCTGTGGATCCTGAACAATGAAGAGTGAAGGAATCCTACCTGGTGAAGGTTAAAATTCCCATGATCATATCAGCTTCACAACACCAACAACATCAGTCTTTTGTTATTGTTTTGTTCTCGTTACTTGTAAATATCCTTTACATTGACAATCATCATATATGTAATTCAAGTTATACCTCAAATGAGATTTAAAGAATTGTTTGTCTCTTGCCACCGAGTAAGTTAGATCTTTTGGCCTGTACTTTGCCTCTTTTTGGGCTAAATGCAACAATTGAATTTGTTACTAAAGCTCTCGATTGACAGGACACTTGTTAATATGGACGTGAGGATTAAACACACTCATAAACGAGTGCTGTACATTTTGTAAAATCACAGCAGCATTGTGAAATCCAGCCTCGCACATCAGCCCCCGGAGTTTCTGTCATATCTTGTCTGTTGCTGGTAAAACGCTGCGAGGCGTCTGGAAGCTGCAGTAAAACAGGACTGTGAGTCAGTCGGTTCTGACTCATCGCAGCCCTGTCTGCTGGAGAGGAAGCTCGAGACAAAGCAGAGCAAAAATACTGGAGGAGAACGGAGAGAATTAACCTGGGGATCGACTCCTCCACACACTCCCATCCTTCCCTGTTTGCAACTACTCTGCTTCCTAGAAATGACCTGCAGCTTTTGCTTATCAAACTGTCTCACCAGCAGAGGAGGGAGGAGAAGTACTCAGATACTGTACTTGAGTAAAAGTAGAAGTACTCAGATCTTGTACTTGAGTAAAAGTAGAAGTACTCAGATACTGTACTTGAGTAAAAGTAGAAGTACTCAAATCTTGTGCTTGAGTAAAAGTAGAAGTTAGTAAAGTAGAAGTACTCAGATCTTGTAGTTGAGTAAAATTAGAAGTACTCAGATCTTGTACTTGAGTAAAAGTAGGAGTACCAGAGTGTAGGAATACTCTGTTACAGTAAAAGTCCTCATTCAAAATGTTCCTCAAGTAAAAGTAGAAAAGTATTCTCATCAAAATATAGTGAAAGTAGCGACAGTAAAAGTAGTCATTGTGCAGATTGGTCCATTTCAGAATAATATATATGATATGTTTTATAATGATTGATCATGAAAGTGTTCTCAAAGCTGGTGAAGGTGCAGCTAGTTTGAATGACTTTGTATACTGCAGGGTAGCTGGTGGATTTACTCCAGGTGGAACTAAAGTCTGATTTAACACTTGGTTATATTTCACATCATTCATCCACATCTGTGAAGTAACTAAAGGTATTAAATACATGTAGTGGAGGAAAAGTACACCATTTACCTCTGAATGGTATGGAGTAGAAGTATAAGGTAGCATCACATGGAAATACTCAAGTAAAGTACAAGTATCTCAAAATTCTACTTACATGTAAGTACAGTACTTGAATACACTTACTTAGTTGCTTCCCACCTCTGACTACATTTCATATTTATTATTCTGAAATGTCCAATCTGCACAATGACTACTTTTACTTTTGGTACTTTCACTATATTTTGATGATAACATTTTTCTATTTTACTTGAGTAACATTTTGAATGCAGGACTTTTACTGTAACAGAGTATTCCTACACTCTGGTACTTTTACTCAAGTACAAGATCTGAGTACTTCTACTTTTACTCAAGATCTGAGTACTTCTACTTTTACTCAAGATCTGAGTACTCCTCCCACCTCTGCTTCCCAAAATGACCTGCACGCTTGGCTTACCAAACTGTCTGTCTCACCAGCCTTCTGGGTGGGTGTGTACTGAATTACCCTCGTTCTCCTGACCCCCTAACACAACATGTGTAAGGGTCTGATTCAGATGACCCTGACGAGAACTTCCGCTCTTTTCCCCTGGAACTGGCTCTGGGATATGGTGATAATGAAATCAAAGGGAAAGTTCCTTTATATATAAATGGGAAGTCAGGAGAGTATACAGAGAACATGCCAGCACATGGCAGCCGGTCAGAAACAGGGAGTTGTTGGTGGACGTGACTACATTTGCACCCATTTGTTGATGTTTTCCTTGTAATTACCAAAAGCATTTCAACCAGTTTGTTTAGCTCAGCTCAGTGTCTTATTTTAGTACGTAAGAAAAAACAAAAGCACTTCCCAGTAGTGAGCAGTGGTAATGTAATGGAAGTTCATTTACCTCAAGTTTCTTAAGTGCAATCAATACTTATAATCCAGTGATTTAACCCTTAAATGGTTTCTGTATTCTAGGTGAAACAGTCATTTGACAGACTGTGTCCGTGTGTAATAACAGTCTAGTAACAGTGGTAATTACTACGGCTGTACCCGAATATCCGAATATTCGTTCGTTGAGTACTATTCGGGTTTCCAATTCGTTATTCGTTTTAAAAAAATCGATCTTTCCCGTTTTTTTTCCAAATTGACTTTATTGAAATCTCCAATATCAACGTAAGAGCTTGTGCCTCTTCGGGGGTGCTACACTTAGCCATAAACATTATCGTTTACTTTCTCCGTCTTTATATGTAGATATGACTTTTCTCCGTTAATCTCCATCGCGTTGTTTCCATAGCAACAACAACTTCCTGTCAACAGCGCTAACTCTCCTTCAAAATAAAAGCATGTCCATACATAGGAAGCCAAGCCAAATTACACTTAAGACATATACAACTACAACAAAAGTAACAAACACAATGCGATATCCTTTTCAATTCAAAGAACACAAATTGGGTTGAATTAACAAATAACTATAAAACAACAATACTGTAGAATAACAACATGAATGCCGTGAATAAACCGAAATACACGTGTTGAAGCAGTTCGCTGCTGATTACTACCGAATATCCGGAGCCCGAAAAATGGTATTCGGGACAGCCCTAGTAATTACAGTGTAATATGGGTCTAAAATAGGGGTATTAATGTGTAACATGGGTGAAATTACGGAGTTATATGGGTGTTGTAACTGTTGTTTTATAACAGTGTAATAACTGTTTGATTACAGTGTAATATGGGTCTCATTTTGGTCAAAATGGGTGTATTAATGTGTACATGGGTGTCATAACACTGCTAATACAGGTGTTGTAAGGGTTTAATAAGGTGTAACACCGTTGAAAATGCAGGTGTTAATAGGGGTGTAATAATGGTTAAATGGGTGTAAAGACAGGGTGAAATGTAACAAATATCATAAAAAAATTCTTCCGAAAAAGCTATATGTACTTGCTCATTTAAGGGTTAATATATATGATTCTGATATGGGCCATTACGCACAACAAGTACTTAACGTTTGGTAATATAGGTTTATTTTGATGGCACACACTTTGTACTTTTGGTGAAGTAAGATTTTGAATGCACGACACATTTTAGTATTGCTTCTCAACTGCTATTGGCATAGAACAAAATTGTATTTCTTCCACCACTGATGCTGTGCAGTTACAGCTTGTTTCCCATTGGATTATTGACTATATATTCATGGTCATGCTGGTTTCACTGCACAATAAGCAGATGACACCCTTTATACAGTCTATGATGCCACCCTGCAGAGTGCAACCAGGACAGTGCTGAACAGGATCGAGGGCCAGTGTTTGTGTTCAGAAAACAGAGGGAAAGGGGACGCCACGCTGCAGTGATGTCCTTGTTGTTTTGTCACACTGGTTGGGCTCACATGTGTTCAGTGTCACCGTAAACAGCCTGAGGTCAAAAGGCGGGGGGGAATTGATCTGCACGCTGCTGCAGGATGAGCTCGTGTCATCACATGTTTCCACCCTCAGGCAGCTCGGATCAACCAGGATTACAGGCCACAGACATCCATTATTGGAGGAAAAAGTATCGCTAAATGAACGACAACATGAAAAATGAGCGTCACAGGCATGCTAAATGCTAACAGGGATGCTAACATGCATCGTTATGTCAGATGCTGCAAGTTTTTAAGAAACGCCTACTGCCTGGTTTTAGTTTTATCACAAATGATTTATTGTTTGCAGTTATTTAGTTGACTTCCTCCATGTGGTTTGGTAGCATTCATCTGACTGCAGTTTCACACCACAGGCTTTCAAATAACTCACGCACAAACATCAGCACACAAAGAATTGTTTGTGAACTTCAAATTAAAGCAGTTTACATTTTAATACTTCAAATAGTTTCTGTACTTTCAGCAGTTCTTTGTGTTTGCTTTTGGTTCAGTGAAAAGGGGATTTTATTGGTTAAAACAACCGAGAAATTAAGATTTAAAAATAAGTATCTCGAGAAAAATGTGTTTAAAATGCAATAAAAAGATAAAATAAAATGAAAAACAAATATTTATATAAACATTAGAAGTTAATATACAATACAAATATATATAACAAATAAAGATGTTTATATGAACAACAAATGAAAATTAATTGTCCAATGAAAAACATTACATTTAAAATGTCAAATAAAAGATCAACAATATACATATATTTAAAGAAGTAAGAATGTTAAGCTAAGGTTTTGTAATAAAAGATCAAAATACAAATATTTCAATGTCAGAAGTAAGAGATCAGATTGCTTGATTTGACTATTCCGTTTTATAATACAATATACACACTGGTGTATTGGTATTACCTAGTTGATGCATCGTAATTTCTGGGTGTGTATCTGGGAGTGTTTTACTACCAGTGACCTGACGGGCCTCTCTCCCTGCTGCAGCACCGTCAGCTGCTGAGGGATCGCTTCATGGTGGAGCTGGTGGAGGGATCCAGGAAGCTGCGTCACGTCTTCCTGTTCACGGACCTGCTGCTCTGCACCAAGCTGAAGAAACATGGCCGCAGGGTGGAGTCTGGACAGGGGTCCTGGAGGGGGTCCTGGGGGGGGGGGGGGGGGGGGGAGAGGGAGGCTGTGACCTGGAACAGCCACTGCTTTTAAAAAACAGTACGCCCAGGCAGACATTTACCTGTCTATGTAAATATAAGAATTTAAAAATAAAGATATTTATATAATCATAACAAATAAAAGTAAAATTCCAATAAAAGATACAATAAAGTAAAATAAAAATAAATCTGAAAAAACATTAAAAAAATAGAATTTTTATAATATATATAAATAGAAATATACATTTAAATACATGCGTTTATTTTTTGCGTTTTATTTTACTAAGGCTCCATGATTTTGTTTAATTTTGAGAACATTATTATTATTATTATCATTTTTTAATAGTTTTTATTTTACATTTATATTAAATGGATTACAGCTTTCCCTTTGTGCTTGATTCTTGCAAATCTGCAATTTTTTTGTGGCAAAATCAAGACTTAAAATACATTTTATCCTAATGTTTCCTATTTTTTTTTTATATACTCGTTGATCATAATAATAATAATAATTATAACTTACATTTATTTAGCGCCTTTAGGGGACCCAAGGTCGCTTTACAGAAAAAGCAGGAGTTAAACAACACAAAACAAAACAGTCAGACAAACAGTCAGATTTAAGATTAAGAATTAGGGGCCGGGGATCATGTCCATTTCATTGCGGTAACCAAACTCCTGCATTAATATTTGATTAATCGTGCAGCCTTATATTAAAAACCCTCTTCCTCCCCAGCAAAGGGCAGCAGTACGACTGTAAGTGGTTCATCCCACTGGCCGACCTGACCTTCCAGAACATCGAGGACTGCGAGTCCACGCCCGTCCCGCTGCTGCCGGAGGACGAGATCGACGCCATGAAGATCAGAATCTCACAGATCAAGAACGACATCCAGAGAGAGAAGGTGAGCAAACACAGAAACTCAATCATCACCAACACAAGATATAAGGTGGAGTGAAAGGTCAAATTAAATAAGATTATATACAGTATAGCCCAATATCATAAATATTATATTTGTCTCAGGGGGCTTTAGAGTCCGTACGGATCAATAAAGAAGATAAAATAACACTATACAGTAAATACACTTGATAAAATAATGAAACTGTAAAATAATAATAAAATACTGGACCTTATATGACATTAACTTGGTTCTGTTGCTCTGCAGAGAACCACCAAAGGAGTGAAGGTGATGGAGCGCCTGAGGAAGAAGCTGTCGGAGCAGGAGTCTCTGCTGCTCCTCATGTCGCCCACCATGGCCTTCAGAGTGGCCAGCAGAAACGGAAAGGTGAGGAGGCGAGAAAGAAGGAAACAAGCCCAAACGTTCATAAAACCAGTGCATGAAGAAGGTGTTTTTGCCTATAGTGTCTCGCCTTCAGAGAGATATTCAAATCCCTGTAAAACATCAATGGGAATATCCTCATCCATCACTTCTAACTTTGGTGTCTGCTGCCCTCTGCTGGTAGGAAGCGGGACACCACAGCATGAGTGTGCAGTAAAATAATCCACATTAAATCCTCTCTTAATGTCTTCCAGGGTTTCATGTTCCTCATCTCCTCGGACTACGAGCGAGCCGAGTGGAGGGAGATCGTCCGAGAGCAGCAGAAGAAGTGTGAGTCTACAGACGCAGTGTTAATATCATATCAGTGTGTCTTGCTTGAAGTTTTTAAACCACATAATGGCATTACAGAAGTCTATGTTGTCCATGTTGTGTTTCGTTTTGTTTAATAGCTCTACTAAAAACCACTGGATTCAGCTGGTGGGCAGTTGCCATATCTTGATGAATTTATCAAATCCCTTTCTCATGTATTTTATGCAAAGATAGACATTAACTCAGGCATTTTGATTTCCATCCATGTGACAGGGCTCTATTTGTCCATTCACAACACTGGCCTAGTCGGTTGGGTTAAGCTCCAAAACTTTAATAACAGCAGCAAAAATAAAATAACCGAACCAGCACAACTTAAACAAAATAAATAAATGTCCAAATCAAACCGTCCATCACTCATCCGAGTAAAACATGCTCTGGTGTTGCCTTCTCTGCAACCCTCTCCCGAACATGTCCCAGCTGTTGCCTTCATTGCAACATTCTTCCGAGTCCTTCTCCAGGGCCAAAACCGTCCATTTTGAACCCATAGCCCCTCCCACAGGCTTACCCTCAACAGGTGACGCAATTACCTCAAAATCACATTGTCAACATAAAAAAATCCGACCCAAACATAAACAGGTTAACCACCTCTTAACATAATCATTTAAACAAATTAACAAACACACAATAAATAATACATTGCATCCTTTTTAGGAAGAGAGCAGGAAATGTTTGGTGTGTGACTGTGTGTGCGTGTGTGTGTCGGCTGTCAGTGGCGGAGTCAGTCACTCATGTGATCCGCTCCGTCACAATCCATAAGGACATATTTGCATGAAACTGTTATATAAACTTGTATCTTCCTCCGTTGTGTCCTGCAGGTTTTAAGAGCTTCTCCCTGACCTCTCTGGAGCTGCAGATGCTCACCAACTCGTGTGTGAAGCTGCAGACGGTGCACTCCATCCCAATGACCATGAATAAAGAAGGTACCACTCATAATGTATTGTACTGTTGACAAGCTGTACCTGCAGGTTTGTATCTCATCCTAACGTGAATGCCCCCCTCCTCCACAGATGATGAATCTTCCGGTTTGTACGGCTTCCTGAACGTCATCGTGCACTCTGCATCGGGGCTGAAACAGAGCTTGAGTGAGTGGCTTATTTATTCTCCTGGTTTTTACTATATTACTCCACAGTTTGCAGGTGAATTCACATCATCCTCGCTGATCAAACTCTACTTTGTACTCACCGTCGCAAAAAGGTAGCCAGGAAACAATCAGTGGTTTGTTTGATTTTGAGATTATCTTAAAGAGGACATATAATGCTATTTCTCAGGTGTATATCAGTATGTAGTGTCTCTACTTTAAAGAGTCCTCTCCTGCTGATGTTCAGGTGTATATCAGTATGTAGTGTCTCTACTTTAAAGAGTCCTCTCCTGCTGATGTTCAGGTGTATATCAGTATGTAGTGTCTCTACTTTAAAGAGTCCTCTCCTGCTGATGTTTCAGGTGTATATCAGTATGTAGTGTCTCTACTTTAAAGAGTCCTCTCCTGCTGATGTTCAGGCGTATATCAGTATGTAGTGTCTCTACTTTAAAGAGTCCTCTCCTGCTGATGTTCAGGTGTATATCAGTATGTAGTGTCTCTACTTTAAAGAGTCCTCTCCTGCTGATGTTCAGGCGTATATCAGTATGTAATGTCTCTACTTTAAAGAGAGTCCTCTCCTGCTGATGTTCAGGCGTATATCAGTATGTAGTGTCTCTACTTTAAAGAGTTCTCTCCTGCTGATGTTCAGGTGTATATCAGTATGTAGTGTCTCTACTTTAAAGAGTCCTCTCCTGCTGATGTTCAGGCGTATATCAGTATGTAATGTCTCTACTTTAAAGAGTTCTCTCCTGCTGATGTTCAGGTGTATATCAGTATGTAGTGTCTCTACTTTAAAGAGTCCTCTCCTGCTGATGTTCAGGTGTATATCAGTATGTAGTGTCTCTACTTTAAAGAGTCCTCTCCTGCTGATGTTCAGGTGTATATCAGTATCTAGTGTCTCTACTTTAAAGAGTCCTCTCCCTGCTTATGTTCAGGTGTATATCAGTATGTAGTGTCTCTACTTTAAAGAGTCCTCTCCTGCTGATGTTCAGGTGTATATCAGTATGTAGTGTCTCTACTTTAAAGAGTCCTCTCCTGCTGATGTTCAGGTGTATATCAGTATGTAGTGTCTCTACTTTAAAGAGTCCTCTCCTGCTGATGTTCAGGTGTATATCAGTATGTAGTGTCTCTGCTTTAAAGAGTCCTCTCCTGCTGATGTTCAGGTGTATATCAGTATGTAGTGTCTCTGCTTTAAAGAGTCCTCTCCTGCTGATGTTCAGGTGTATATCAGTATGTAGTGTCTCTGCTTTAAAGAGTCCTCTCCTGCTGATGTTCAGGTGTATATCAGTATGTAGTGTCTCTACTTTAAAGAGTCCTCTCCTGCTGATGTTCAGGTGTATATCAGTATGTAGTGTCTCTACTTTAAGAGTCCTCTCCTGCTGATGTTCAGGTGTATATCAGTATGTAGTGTCTCTACTTTAAAGAGTCCTCTCCTGCTGATGTCCAGGTGTATATCAGTATGTAGTGTCTCTACTTTAAAGAGTCCTCTCCTGCTGATGTTCAGGTGTATATCAGTATGTAGTGTCTCTGCTTTTAAAGAGTCCTCTCCTGCTGATGTTCAGGTGTATATCAGTATGTAGTGTCTCTACTTTAAAGAGTCCTCTCCTGCTGATGTTCAGGTGTATATCAGTATGTAGTGCTCTACTTTAAAGGAGTCCTCTCCTGCTGATGTTCAGGTGTATACAGTATGTAGTGTCTCTACTTTAAATGAGTTCCTCTCCTGCTGATGTTCAGGTGTATATCAGTATGTAGTGTCTCTACTTTAAAGAGTCCTCTCCTGCTGATGTTCAGGTGTATATCAGTATGTAGTGTCTCTACTTTAAAGAGTCCTCTCCTGCTGATGTTCAGGTGTATATCTCAGTATGTAGTGTCTCTACTTTAAAGAGACCTCTCCTGCTGATGTCAGATGTATATCAGTATGTAGTGTCTCTACTTTAAAGAGACCTCTCCTTCTGATGTTCAGTGTATATCAGTATGTAGTGTCTTACTTTAAAGAGTCCTTACTGCTGATGTTCAGGTGTATATCAGTATGTACAATGTCCTCTACTTTAAAGGAGAGTCCTCTCCTGCTGATGGTATCAGGTGTATATCAGTATGTAGTGTCTCTACTTTAAAGAGTCCTCTCCTGCTGATGTTCAGGTGTATATCAGTATGTAGTGTCTCTACTTTAAGAGTCCTCTCCTGCTGATGTTCAGGTGTATATCATATGTAGTGTCTCTACTTTAAAGAGTCCTCTCCTGCTGATGTTCAGGTGTATATCAGTATGTAGTGTCTCTACTTTAAAGAGTCCTCTCCTGCTGATGTTCAGGTGTATATCAGTATGTAGTGTCTCTACTTTAAAGAGTCCTCTCCTGCTGATGTTCAGGTGTATATCAGTATGTAGTGTCTCTACTTTAAAGAGTCCTCTCCTGCTGATGTTCAGGTGTATATCAGTATGTAGTGCTCTACTTAAAGAGTCCTCTCCTGCTGATGATCAGGTGTATATCAGTATGTAGTGTCTCTACTTTAAAGAGTCCTCTCCTGCTGATGTTCAGGTGTATATCAGTATGTAGTGTCTCTACTTTAAAGAGTCCTCTCCTGCTGATGTTCAGGTGTATATCAGTATGTAGTGTCTCTACTTTAAAGAGTCCTCTCCTGCTGATGTTCAGGTGTATATCAGTATGTAGTGTCCTCTACTTTAAAGAGTCCTCTCCTGCTGATGTTCAGGTGTATATCAGTATGTAGTGTCTCTACTTTAAAGAGTCCTCTCCTGCTGATGTTCAGGTGTATATCAGTATGTAGTGTCTCTACTTTAAAGAGTGCTCTCCTGCTGATGTTCAGGTGTATATCAGTATGTATTGTCTCTACTTTAAAGAGACCTCTCCTGCTGATGTTCAGGTGTATATCAGTATGTAATGTCTCTACTTTAAAGAGTCCTCTCCTGCTGATGTTCAGGTGTATATCAGTATGTAGTGTCTCTACTTTAAAGAGTCCTCTCCTGCTGATGTTCAGGTGTATATCAGTATGTAGTGTCTCTACTTTAAAGAGTCCTCTCCTGCTGATGTTCAGGTGTATATCAGTATGTAGTGTCTCTACTTTAAAGAGTCCTCTCCTGCTGATGTTCAGGTGTATATCAGTATGTAGTGTCTCTACTTTAAAGAGTCCTCTCCTGCTGATGTTCAGGTGTATATCAGTATGTAGTGTCTCTACTTTAAAGAGTCCTCTCCTGCTGATGTTCAGGTGTATATCAGTATGTAGTGTCTCTACTTTAAAGAGTCCTCTCCTGCTGATGTTCAGGTGTATATCAGTATGTAGTGTCTCTACTTTAAAGAGTCCTCTCCTGCTGATGTTCAGGTGTATATCAGTATGTAGTGTCTCTACATGTCTTCATGCTTTAATGTTCAAAAAGCTCTTTATTGTTCTCATACTGCCTGTGCTGCAGCACCTCTTTTCACCCTCTGTCTGAAACCAGAGCCCAGTCCGTTCTGATTGGTTATCTGGCCAGCTCTGTCGTGATTGGTCAACAACTTAGAGATGTCCCGCTCCTTAGCCTATCACGTACAATGTGTTGGAGCGCTAGCCAATAGGAGCTTGAGTGTTGCATAGTGATGTCACTTTGTTATAGAAGTAAACAAAGGAGTCCAATGGAGGCGTTTGGGGAGTGTCTGGAGGGAACACAGGGATTGTAGCCTTTGCAGACCATTTACATGCACTAAAGCCTATTGAACACACTACAGGAACCTCTCTGTCTGCTGTGTGTAACAGGCTTCAGTCTTGCAGCTGTTTTTATTTACCTGTTGGCCTCAGGAATGCAGAATATATTTATTTTTACAGGATACTGCTTGTTGGGCAATATTTGTTGGTATCATTTCAAATAAGACACGCAGAATAAAGTGATAAGATATAACTATTTAAAACTTCGATTTAAAGACATATTAATGTTAAGGGACAGTTTTTGTTTTAAATATCTGTGTTTTAAAGCTGTCAGCGGGTTTTATTGTTCAGATGTTTGAAGCTGCCTCTGCTTGCCCCCACCAGACCTGTACTGCTCTCTGGAGGTGGATTCCTTCGGATACTTTGTCAACAAAGCCAAGACCCGCGTCTACCGAGACTCGACGGAGCCCAACTGGAACGAGGTGAGAGCAGACAGCGGAGAGAAAGTGAAGGAGTGAGATCAGAATCCACCGCTGTGTGTCTTTCAAGGAATACTTCACCATCTGTATATCAAGCACTCACCTCAGGTCACCTTAAACCAGGGATGGGCAAATGGGGTACTTGTAGTACTGATACCGTCCACTGGGGCCACCTCCTCTTTTTGCGGCCCTCAGATTAATTTATAAACAACGTAATTAATTAAAAAAAATAAAATAAACGTTTACTTGTAGTACTGATACCGTCCACTAGACTCCTACTTACGTCACGAGCTGCGTACATGATTTTGTCTGGCAGCCAAATAACACAAAATAATGTTTGGTTCACGGGGAAACACTCACAAGAAACACCGGCTGTTGTTATGCCTGCTGTGACGTTATTTTTCAGCGGGAGGGAGGTGGAGCGGAGCTGAGGAACGGCAGAGTTTCTTAGCTAGGTTCAAGTTAGACAACTACAATTACATGCAATACATGCCATTCGTGTGTGTGTGTGTGTGTCAAGTGAATCTGTGGCCCCCTGGTGGCCAGTACATACATTATGTGGCCCCCACCACCATCCAAGTTGCCCATCCCTGCCTTAAACTCTGGAAGAAAGCTTGATCTTGTAGAAGAATCTATAACAGAGAAAAGTATTGAGGAAGTGAAGTAAATCTGGCCGTGTCTCTATAAATATTAGCTTACAAACAGCAGTTTTCACCAAGTCTCAAATATCGAGTCGCCTGATCACTACTTTACAAAAAACATGCATTTTCCGTGAAATCTTTACTCTTTAAAACACTTACATAAATAGTTGTGCAGGCACTTCTTGTAAACAATTTAAATATGGCATTTCTTTTTTTTGAGTCATGTTTTTGGTGGAGTACTCTTGAGGAATTGAAGTACATGGGGGCAGGGTTTAAATACAAATAAATTGTACAGTGCAATCTGAGACCCTCTTACTAAAACTGCACTATTTTAAACACTTTGGACGAGAAGTGCGTTCACAAGTTTGAGACTATTCGTGCAGACGTATTTTAAATACAGACGTTTTAAGAGAAAATGCATATTTTTTGTAGAGTAGTGAGAATACGACCGGATAAAGGAGAATTAAACTGCAGAATTGGATCTTTTGATATACTTTTTATTTAAACATGGCCCCCATTTACTTCAATTCATCATGTATCTTCTCTGTGATTTGAATCTTGTGAGAAAAACAAAGAATTCAAGGTAACACGGGGAGAGTAATTGATATAAAACCTGTCATTTTGTGGGTCAAGTATTAAAGGACTGTTTCCTATAGATGTTAAATGCATATTACCATTTACAAAAGGCCCATGGACGCTCAGTCAAACTGTCCAGTGGATCAAATGAAAGTCCTTTGTTGTGCACCGGTCTGAAACCTGCAGTAACATGTTTTTATTTCCCGTTTGAAGGAGTTTGAGATCGAGCTGGAGGGCTCTCAGACGGTGAGGCTGCTCTGTTACGAGAAGTGCTGCAACAAGAGCCGGCAGAGCAAAGAGGAGGCGGAGGTCACCGACAGGATCATGGCCAAGGGGCAAATAAAGGTAAGGGAGGAGAATGACTCATCGGGTTTTAGGGAAATACTTTAACTGATTCGAGCCTGATCTG